ACGGGAGAGGCAGCAGCAGAAGACACAACAGGCGTAGCAGCAGCAGCAAATCCATCGTGAGCTATCTGGCCATAAGCACGAGGCGGGCCCTCACTGCGAAGAAGAGAGCGCAGCAGCCCGAGCTGTTCTGGGGCGCCGATGGGCCCCGCAGAGCCCAGAATGCCTTCAATGGCTGACCGAACGCAAGGCTTTGCTGCTGCTGCTGCTGCTGCTGCTGTTTCTTCTTCGCTGCTCCTTATGGCGCTGCTGGCTCCATATGGGTCGTTGCTGCTGCTTCTGCTTCTGCTTGACTCGGCACGATCGCAAAGGACCTTCAGGTCGGCCAAGAGGGCCCGCAAAGCAGGTAGGAGGGGCTGCTGCGGCTGCTTATGCTGCAGCTGCTGCACAATTTTGCTGCTGCTGCACTGTACAGAACAGCCTGACCCGATGGACGTGACAATCGCCCCAGGAGGATGCTGGTGCGGCTGAAGCTGCTGCTGCTGCTGCTGGCGGCGCTCCTCAACAAGCCTTAGGAAGTCTCCAATGCGCCTAAGCGAGGCGACCTCGATTGCGCTGCTGCTCTCTGCAGCTAGTGCTGCTGCCGCTGCTGCAGCCGTAGTTGGAGCTGCTGCAGTTGTAGTCAATGCTTTTGTTTCTGCTGCAGCGCGGGCCTGGTGGGGCCTCGGAGAAGGCGAGTCAGAGCCTCTCATTTTCCTTGCAGAGACGGCGTCGCTGTTGCCGCTTTTTCCGTGCTGTTGCTGCTGCTGCCTCAACTTGTGCCGCTGCTGCCGTTGGTGCTGCTCAGCATAGACTACGGCCTGGCTTTGTCTGCTGCGTGGAGTTTAGCCGCTGTGGGACAGAGGACCCGCAGCTGCAGGTGGCGCATCTCCCACCCTTTCGAAGCAGCTGTGGGTGCTGCTGCTGCTGTGTACTGCTGCTGTTGTTGCTGTTGCTGCTGCTGTGGCTGCTGTCCGTCTCTTGGCATCTCCTTACTGTCCCTCCCTGGTATCCGTCTTCGAGGTGTGCGCTATGTGGAGCTACTGCTGTAACTGCAGTAGAGTCGTTCCCCCCTCGCTACTGTTGCAGTCAGCCTGCTATTTTTCTCCTGGTGTCCTTGCGTCTTCCGAGTAAAAGAGGCAGCAGTGTGTGTATAGACCTCAGGGGTCACACAGCTGTCGGCAGCAGAGATGCTGCTGTCTGGATGAACAACTGTTGCTGTTGCTCTCGCTGCACTGGAAAACTACAAGACGCAGAAGGAAAAATCAAACCTAACGCAGACTTGCTGCTGCTTAGACAGGTGGAGCCTCGGCTGAAGAGCAGCAAGCTGCCTCTACTGGCGCTGCTGCTGCAGTTGCTGCAGAATGCATGCAGCAACAGCAGCACCAGCGGCCAGTCGTCGAGTGTCTGAACCTCGAACCGCTGTCATCTGTAGAAGTTACCTGTTTTCATTTTTACTTATGTAGATCGTGCGCCACTCGGAAGCCTCACCACTGGCCTGTGTTGCGGCTGCTGCTCCTGCTCGTTCCAGGAGGCGGACAGATCCCACGGGCTCCTTCTTTGCGCTCTGCAGGCAAAGCTTGAAGCCCATTTCGGCGGCTTGGCCCTCGAGGAGGCGTTCGGAGCAGCAGCAGGACGGCGCGGGCAGCGCCGGCAGCGCCAGCAGCAACGAGAGCACCGACATTAGCAACAGCAACAGTACCCGCATCAGGACTAGATGCTGCGAAACATCGCTGCAGCCACCGCCTCCCGGCACGCTGAGCTGCTTCTGTGCCGCTGCTGTCTGCCTCAGAGACAGACGGTAGCGCTTGCCGCTGCTGGAGCAGCTGCAGCAGCAGCAAAGCCAGCAGTGGCTCCCACAAAAGCAGTTACACCCGCAACAAGCTTGCAAAAGGTGCAAGCACGGGCAGGAGCACGCCCAGGGACCTTACAGCCGGTCTCTTGCAACGACAAGTGTTCCCAAACGGGAAGGCCTCCCGCCATTTGGCACCACACTTGCTGCTGCTGCTGCAGCTGCAGGCACGAAGCTTGCAGCAGCGACAGCCGTTTCAGTCTTAGGGAGGCAAGGAGGAGTATCAACACTCTCTTCAGCCAGGTATGAAGGAAGCACTGTGTAGGCTGCTGCCGCTGCTGCTACTGTTGGAGTGCCTGCAGCTTCATGCGGTGCTGTTGCTGTTGCTGCTGCGGTTGTTGCTCTTGCTACAGCTGCCTCCGAGTAGCCCTGCAGCAATTTCTGCCAATGGAGTAACCGCGGACGCTGCGTCTCTACAGCAGCTGCAGCAGTGAGCCAACCCCCTATCTGTTTCATGCTGCGGCTGCTGCTGCCAGGACTGCTCTTGTAGCTGCTGCTGCTGCCGTTGTAGCCCTTACCGCATTTCTGCTGTCAATGTTGCTACAGCCGTTGCTGCTGCCGCCGCGCTGCTTCCGGTGCAGGAGCTTAGCTAATCAAATCGTCAAGGCCTGCGAGTACTACGGCATCCGCGTGCAGCAGCAGCAGCAGCAGCAGGATCATGCTGCAGGCCTCCGCGTTGGCGTACTCCTGCCTCCGTCCCCTGTGGCTCTTGCTGCAGTGGCTGCAATTGCCGCTATTGACGGAGTTGCGGCTCTGCTACCTTTCTGTGATGCTGCTGTTGCTGCTGAGACTGCAGCTGCAGCAACTGCTGCTGCAGGAGGCGTCGCCGCAGCCGGTGGAGCAGCAGCGAGGCCTCTAGCAGCAGCGGTTGAGGAAAATGGGGGAGAAATGTTCTGCACAAGACCTAATGCATGCAGCAGCAGCGTCATAAGCGGCAGCAAAAATTTGCGACTGCTGCAGCAGCAGCTAGCTGAGGCCAGGACGCAGCTGCTGCTAGTTCATCCGGCCCTTGCCGCTGCTGCTGCTGCTCTCTGCGAGCAGTTGGGGGTCCACGTGTGCATATGCAGTGCTGCAGCCCCAGCAGCGACGGACATATGCCTTCAGCAGCAGCAGC